TCCAGAATTGTCCATGTGTTAGGTCACAAAGCAAGCCTCCATAAATTTTCAAACATCAAATTACTACGAGCATCTTTTCAGACCACAATGCTATAAAACTAGAGAAATAAAGTCGACTACATGGAAACTGACCAACACCCTGCTGAAAAGCAACTGGGTAAAAGAAGAAATTAAACATGAATTCATAAAGGTCCTAGAAACAAATGAGAATGAAAACACAACATACCAAAATCTTTGGGATACAGCGAGAGCAGTGCTGAGAGGACAATTTGTTGCAATAAATGCGCACATCCAAAAAGGCAGAACCAAAATTAACACATTAACACAGCATCTCCAACAATTAGAAACTGACCAACAGAAGGAATCTACAGTCACCAAAAGAAAAGAAATAATAAAGATTAGAGCAGAAATAAATGAGATGGAAAACAGAAAAACTATAGAAAGAATCAACAGAACAAGAAGATGGTTATTTGAAAGGATTAATAAAATTGACAAACCGTTGGCAAACTTACCAAAGAAAAGAGGGAGAAGACACAAATAACTCACATTAGAAACCACATGGGCGATGTCACAATGAAACCAAATGAAATCAAAAGGAAATAACAGAATAACATGAGGAGTTGTACTCCAACAAATTCGAAAACTTAGAAGAGACGGATACATTTTTTGAAAAACATGACCTAACAAAACTTACACAGAGTGAAGTAGAAAACTTGAACAGATGCATAACAAAAGAAGAAATTGATCAGGTCATCAAAAAACTCACAACTAAAAGAAGTCCAGGCCCATACGGCTTCACTGGTGAGTTCTGCCAAACATTCAGGGAAGAGCTGTCACCAATTCTATTCAAATTATTTCAGAATACAGAAGAGGATGGAAAAGTTCCTACTACTTTTTATGGAAGCAAGCATAACCCTCATCCCAAACCAGGGAAGGACATAACTAAGAAAGAAAACTACAGACCAATATCCCTCATGAACATAGACAGAAAAATTATCAACAGATTCCAGTAGCACATCAAAAAAATAATACATCAGGACCAAGTGGGTTTCATAAAAGGGATGCAAGGATGGTTCAACATTAGAAAAACAATCAATGTAATCCACCACATAAATAAGAAAAAGGAAAAGA